AAGATTTCTACTTTTTTTTATTATTATCAGATATTTTATAAACAGATTTTTTTTGTCGAAAAATTTAGTTTTCAATGTTTTTATTTCTTCAAATTAAATTTTTCGAAGATAATTATATTTGGTAATATTACACTTATATTTACGTAGCATACTTCATTCGAAGAGCGTTGCAGGTATGTCACGATATCAGTACAACATTGTACAGATATATTATAGATATCATGACATCAATCGCAATATTCTTCCATTGAAGTAAGTACATAAATACGCGTGTTGCATTTATTGTGTATATGTTTATATATATAATATATATTCATATTCATATTCATATATGCTGCGCTTCCAAAGCCTTTTATATAAACGTACAATAGCTTTTCGTAAATTGTCACTATAACTTTGAATACAGAGCTTTAAAGAGAGAAAGAAAGAGAGACAGAGAGAGAGAATCCGAAAGATATTTTTATTTATTTAAAAATTTACTTTTACAATAATGAAAGCATATTCTACTCTACAATACGCGAATAAAAGAGTTTTTAATTTTATTTTCTTAGAGAAATATGTACCCAAGAAAAAATGTTATATACATGAACATATTTATATATAATTATATATAATTGACATTTATTGTTTATAATTATATATAATTATATATAAAATATATCAATTTTTATATAATTATATATAGTTATATATGAAACATTTTTTCCCAGGTACATTATTAAATTGATTAGTGATTAATTATATTTAAATGCTAAGTAAATTGGTTAGTGATTAATTATTTTACTTTGAACGTATAAATGAATCAATATTTATTCAGGGTGAATAATTATCATTATATAATTTTCAAATTAAAAATTATATTATTATAATTTTCAGAAATCAATAAGATAATAGTCAAGGATATAGAAAATTTCCTTAAAATTTCGAAGTTCTGTCAAAAAATAAGTATCTATACATTATATTATTTAGTTATATGCATATTTCAAAATATATCATTTATTAATACTAACGGAAAAGATAATTTTCTATCAAAGATACTTTCTGTTAAAAAGAAAATAAAAATAAAAATTGAGCTACATTTTAGTAATTATAGATCATATAGATTATCGACTATAAATTATACGATTATAAGATTATTTATCTAATTGTAATTATCTAATATTTATGGCCCTTAGATTACAGTCCCTAACACACGTATACATTAATTAAATACATTGACGTCATCAGAACTATACAGCGTGTTTTCTCATGTGATGATTCATACGCGAGTTTTGAGACGGGACGACGCATATTATTATCGCAGATAACAATTGTTACAACAAATCTACATATCAATTTACCAATCAACAATTGACAGCAAAAGCAGCAAACACGAGTTTCCGGCACTTAGCGGTTTTCGGGATTTATTTATACGTATACTTGCACAAATCGTTCCGTAAATCGATCCCTATTGTGCACTCACTCGTCCACCATCACTATGTCAATGAGTCTTCATCGAGTTTTGGTCGATTCTAGTCATTTGTGCGATTACTCGCCAGTCGAAATATCGTCGTGTAGTCATGGATCGATAACGCGACTTGAGTCGGCAGAAGCACGCATGCTTGAACGTATCAACAGGTGTCGAGTTGGCAAACAGCTCTGGCTTTCATCAGGTATCGGCTGATTCATACGATGGACACGATCATTTATATAACATTGTAGACTAGTTACGTATGGTCCGTTTCAATTGAAAATGATCAAATATTTATGAAAAGTTAAAAATGAAAGCAAGAATTATTAAGTTTCCTCTCAACAATTAATTTAACTAAGTTTCATTTACTTGGAATTTATTATGAAAACTTGATATAAAGTAATAATTTGTTTTATTATTATCAACAATTGCTCTTTATCAATATAACAAGGATTTGTTGGAGTAGAAATAAATGGTAATAGAGCAAAGCATAAATCGTCCGCATTGATAGATATTAGACTTGGAATATTTTCCATTTAGTGATATAAATCGACACAAACATCATTTTATCTTTCTTGACATTTCAGTAACAAAAATTGACACTTGTATCGATTTGTGTCATTAAATGGAAAACATCCTATATTCTGAAATTTAATTTGTGAAATAATATTAACAACTGTTAAGTGAAACGCGATTCCTTTTAGACTCGTTGGTTGAACCAACGTTACTTTAATTTTAAGCAAGGTTTAAACTCTCTTT